ATGAATAAAAAATGGAGGGAGCAGCAATAAATGCACTTTACACAATCTCAAGGCATGGCTGCTGAATACACTAATGTATTGGCGAATGTATGTTTTGTATCTGCTGATATGGAAACAAGAAAAAATGAAAAAAAAAAAAAAAAAAACTTATCGCCAATAATTTTGTGTGTCTCTACCACAGTCAATATATTTTGCACACTGCAATTCAAGCACCACTGCATGCTAAATTACAATGAAGTGTGCATAAGGGCTGAAAGAAAATTTATCAGATTAACTATGATTAACTAGATAACCAAAAAAAGCCAACTAATTCAAAAACTGAGTAATACCTAACTGGAGTAAAAATACTTTAAAAGAAACAATTTACTGAAAGAAAAAAATCAGAGCAGAAATGAAAAGAAAAAAAAATGGCACAAAATATTCCTTCAAATTTTGCATCAAGATGAAAAACTTTATTTTTAAGTAAATTGAAATTAAAGCAATACAGGTTGTACTGTTTTTGCCCAACTCCATCTTTCACCAAATATAGACAGTGGAACTAGATTTTGCAGTCAAAACTGCTTTTCCTTGGATATCAAAAATCACATGATGATATGTATAGACCAGAAGCTTGATTATGGTTTGTTTGCTTTGTGGGAGAACCCTTGGCAACCCTGACAAAGTTCACCGTATATTAGATGGCACAGTTAAGTTAATAAGCACACAGGAGTACATATTTCTCTCCATGCTGTGCTTAACCTTACGCACTTGTCCTAAAACACATGAAAAGCTCATTATGTGTTTAATATTCACAAGCAGGTGAATAATTTTTATGCAACTCTGATAGTTGGGCAAGATAGATCGCTCAATTATCTGAACATCCGTCAGAGCGGAGGGCTCGTCGGCTCTGGAACGCCACCAGCTAAAGATTGATGGCTGGAAGACACCAATAGCCGCTGCTTCGCCATCTCATCCAGGCACTGGGCCTAAACGTAGCATCTGAATCTGCACCAGGCTGCTTTCCTCTCCCTTTTTCCATCCGCTGTCTTCTTTTCTTGGTAGCATTGTAGGTGAAGCGTCATTACCCCTCACTCCACTGAAGAGGGGTTCATTATGGGGTTAGTGTGTTGGCAAGACTATTGCTTGGATGATAAATGCAGTTGTTGAGGGCTTTGGAGGGAAAATCAGTTATGTTTTATTTTTTTTTCTTCCAGTCTACAAAAACATGCCCCGACTACACTTTGCTTGAAGGCAACCGAAGAACAATTAACACGAGCACTGGGTGAAGCGGCTCAGTTAAAGCAAAGAGGGAATTCATGAAAAAATAAGCAAATCACTGAAAACGTCAATCAGAAGCAATGAGGTAATTACAAAGAGCGGTGTGCAATTCCAAGGGCAATAACAAAGAAAGCAGTTTAAAGTCAAGGTCTAAAATCAGATTTTGAAGGATGAAGGAATGGGCAAATAAACCAAATGTCCCTGCTTAAAGCTTTCCCAGAAAACAAAACCCAATAGGAGGTGAGATACGAAGGAATAAATTAATCTGATCCCTCCCTTACTGCCCGCTTTTCACTTAGAGAACTAAAATATGCATTTTCACTTTCTATGCTCAAAATTTATGTGTGCATACCACGCCATAACAAAGATTACAAAACCTAATAATCATTGTATTTAAAAAGTTACACGACTTCTAGATAAAGGTACCACTAAGAGCTTTTTACTTTGTTCTTTACATAATTTGCTTCTGGACCTACTCGGTTAGAACCTTAATACACTTGGACAAGACAATGCCAGTCAAAATAAATGCAACATACTGTACCTTAAGGCTAAAATTTAAGAGTAGCATAGATTGGAATGACAGAAACCATCCCATCATAAAGTTTGGGTCTGCTGGCAAAAGCTGGTAAGCCTCTCGGCAGTTACTATCTATTGCTGACAAAGGTAGGTTTCTTTGAACTTGAATTGACATTGAGTTCTTACAATTACAATAATTGAAACCACAAGTTTTACACCTGCATACACTCGAAACCTGATTTTAAACTAAAAAGAAAAAAAAAAAAAAAAAAAAAACGTATTATTAATCACGACCTTGGGATCTTAACTGAAATTAAACAGCTAATTGATACAGCTGAATGATATAAAGTGTTTTCCATTGAAACGTAATTATTTTTGGGAGGGATTTTTTAGGCTCTAATTTTAGGTTATCAAACATTTTGGGCTATGAAACGATGCTGCCTGCTACAGCACATATGTATCAATCATCTGTCATTTCATAAAGCCAACAGTACACTTCAGATCAGTTTGGCAATGGATTACAGTTCCTCTACATAAAGCACTCATAGTCATCTGTAAGGAAAAGTGATAATATGACTGAGAAGTAATATCTGGAGCAGGTCAAAGCTCAGTTGTCTGGAATCAATTTTGATCAAGATCGGTTCCAGACAACTGAAATCAATTCCCAAGACAGTTAAGGCTTTTATAGATACCAATGTCTACGGCTGTACATTGTACACCCTTTACTAAAAAAACTTCACTTAAATGTTCAAAATTTCCCAAGCAGTAGATGCTGGATTTGGAAAAATAAATTTTTTGCTGCTGGGGATTCCTATATGGGGTCTGAGCGCCTCTGAAATCGAAGTAATATATTAAGGCAGGCTCGTAATCTTGATGAACTGACTGCACATGTGTACTTTCTCACTTAAAAACATATTAAACTACCTTTTACCGACTGATCACAGAGAATATAGCAATTCCACTCTCTGCCATTGAACACAGGAGCAGCCCAAGCAGTAGATGCATCTGTAAAAACAATAGACGAATCTCAGGAACATCAAAGATGATCTTGAGGCACGTCTGACCTTAATGTGTACAAGCATCAAAAATAAAGCAGCAGATGCTTTTTTTGCTGCTCTAATTTGCTTGTGGTGTGAACGTAGCATTACACTTTCTGATTGTTTGAATTAATTTATGAAACAAAATATTGTATCTAAAAATCATCTCGTCTTCCTAATGAAATCCACCTCTAGTCAAGCACACATACTTCCCATAATCAGGACAAAAGTAGTGTTGTAATGCTTAACAATTCCTGTAATTAATGAATAGCGCAATGAAAAAAATAATGTCTCATCTAAACATCCCTCACTTAACAATAAAAGTAAACAATAACTCTCAACTCCCAATAACAGATGATACCCAGCCTCAGCAATGAACGAAATAATGTCTGTTCTGTAGGCTATTGGATAAAATAAATGAACAAATGAGCTAATTAACAAAAAATACCTCTTGTGTAGCAAAAATAACTCAAAATGTACCAAAAATGAACAAACATATCAATAGACTATCTTTACTTTCGGTGTCCAGGTGGCTTTTCAGATTCCTTGCACCTCCATTGGACACCGAGCCATGTGTGCCTGCTTTGCACACTGTTCACAAGGCCTCCCGTTTGTCTTGACCCGGTCTGAAAGCGGGGAAACTCTTTTTAAATCGTTGGTAAACATACATTTGTGCTTTTGCATGTTGTTGGCGTACTGACAGCCACGCTACAGTATCTATATTCTGATTAAGAACAGGGCTGCCCGCACTGACGCGGCTCAGGGATTACGTCACACGCAGCGTCGTGCGCAGTGCCCTAAGGCCTGTAAATTTAATAGTCCAATTGAGGTAATTTAAAAAATCAGGACATTTCCTCACTTTCTAAAAAAAACACTGGACGCCCGGGACAGGACGTGAAATACGGATATGTCCCGGGAAATACGGACGTTTGGTCACCCTAAGTTAGCTGCATATTTCATACACCCTATGAAATATTCCTAGCTGAAAGCCTGACACAGTTCCTTTGTGACAAACTTAGATTACATCAGGAGAAAATAAAAAGATGCTGAATAGGTGTCACCTTTAACACCATAAAAATAAATAAATAAATATTTAAATAAATATATATATTTTTTTCTACACTGAAGAGGTCAACACAGCATATAAGAGTACAAGCTAAATACCTTTGCCCCACAGCAGCGACTTTTGGCTACTCTAGTTTTAAGTAGGTTTGAAAGTCCATAAAGTGTTTTCCCCTTCAGACTTTTTTCCCTTAATCCATCCAGAAATGGGATCCTAATGTGGAACTACACAAGAGCCAAAAACATACAAAGACAGCTCGTCTCTGCCAGGGTTTTGGACACAACGCCTAAGAAAGGCCCCTCCTGGCAATCCACTGCCATGTCACTAAATGTCAGATGGCCATCACAGCTGATTGGAATCAGTGCTGTAGTGAGGTACTGCGGTCCAGTGCCAAGTGAGGCATGGATATGAACCACCAGTCTGTTTGCTATTACACAGGTTTCTTATTATATCCATTGGTAAAAAAAAAAAAATCTGTACAAAACTGACAGCTATACTAAACAAATATTCTTTTTTTTTAAGTATTTTTTTCTAGGCTTTCAAAAAGAACTGATTGGGAAATCTGACTTTTACCCTCTTGCTTTAGATCTGTACTATGAGTCCAAACAAATACTTTTGATGGTTTCTACACTTGTTTTAAACAGTACAGTTTCACAGCAGGAAAAAAAAAATCCCAGATTTTGTTTAACTGGCAATGACATCATCATTCCAACAATTCATTCAGAAATGTGAGCACACACAAGTTGGTTCCTACAACGGTCAGACCACAAAAGGCTTGTTCCTGTCCAAAAGTTCTCATGACAACAGATGTAATGCATTAATCACCCACTTCCTAGCTTTCCTTCCAACACAATGTCTGTATTCTGCCAAACAATCGAACCTGCAGAAAGGCCATTCTGGACAGCAAAGAGTTCTAATAACAGGGGCGAATGTGGAAGTAGCGCAAAAAAAGGAGGCACCATGAGGAATTCTGTGGTAAAAGCAACCCGTACCAGGGAGGAAGTGGTGAGAGTTGTTAGTAAAAGATACGAGCAGCTTTTATTAGTGCACAGTTGACGGTGGTTTGTGGTTAATAATACAAAAAGAAGGTAAGTTGAGGAAATAATGGCAGGTAAAACAAAGCTGACCTGTTCCAGTAGCTCCAGAACTGCTCATTGAGGTAGGTTCGATGGCTGTGATCATCCCCAAAAGATGCTTTGCTTTCAATCCAGTGTATGATGTGTCCTTCTACAGCTTTATTAAATGAAAAACAGAGACTTTTGTCAAATGGGTATATCTTGAAAAATCCACAAAATGTCAGTAATTGACACTGCAAGTAACTGAATGAAAGAGAAAGAATGTTCAGGTATTAATTTTGATAAGCATGACAAAGTTATTTAAAACCAAATTAAGATTCTAAGAAAATCTGAGGATTGCATGGTGCAAACGGAATGATACAGGTTTAAAAATATACTATGACCATATTAGGGCCTGTACATTCATTTGGTCAGTAACTAAAGTTCCAATCAATACTTTGTAACATAACATTTGTGGGCAATGACAGAGGTCTAACATTTCCTGCAAGTCTTCACCAGGTTTGCACACACTGTAGCTGGCACAAATACATTCATAAAAATCCTACAATATGATTTCCTGGATATTTTTCCTAATTTTGCCACTTATAGTTGAAAAGTACCTATGATAAAACTTACAGACCTCTCTCATTATTCAAAGTAGGAGAACTTGCACAATCAGTGCTTGACGAAATACTTTTTGGCCTCACTGTATACTGTTAGTCTATCTAAACTAGGTCACCCTACAGAAAATTATTATTCAAGATTTTGCTGGTCCTTTTGATTTAAATATTATTCTTTATGTTTTCCTAGAGCCATAAACTGCAATAATATAAATCGGAAGTGTTTAATCAAATAAATTTCTAGGTTTTTGCCATTAGAATAGATTAACTGAAATTAATAAAATCTTCACTGACAATCTAATTTATTAAAGATTTGTATTTAAAATTATGCATGAAACCAGCAATAACTAGCTCCATGTAATTTATCCAAGAACTTTCTATGTGTACTCACCAACAGGCACCTCTAAGATGATATCCGGCGTTTTGTCATAGCCCATAGTTCTCAGCTGGTTTTCATCTAAGAGATATAAAATAGAGATGTTTCATATTTTCCACCTAAGATAATTTTTTTTTGTCCATTTATCTTATTTTGATTTCAAGTTTGAGCACTTTTACAAAACGCACACATCACAAATGGTCATTGATCTAATTTTAATGTAATACTGGAGAAAACTGCAGCTGAGGACAAAAAGTTTAGTACAATAGCTATATGGGCATGTTCCATGTTTGCAGTCTTTGCACTAGAGCGTGTCATGCTTAATTACAAAGCTTTAGCTTCAGGACGAAGTTTGGCTTTACTTTAGATAATATATTGCTGGACGAGGATGGCTTTGGCATTATACCTCTGTAAGCTTGACCCCTGACTGTGCATGCTGCAGCCACTGTCCTTGACTTCTGCTGTGCTCTGGTCATTATATCTACAACACCTGATTTCTCAATTAAATCTCAGGCTGACCAGGTCATTCAGTTCCAAGGGCCTGCCTCTTTGTCTTCAGCCAAGCTCAACTAATGGGGCATGGAAAGGAATTGAGGAGAGATGGAGGGTGGCGGGAAGGAGGTAGCATCATCAGCCAAGGGTGAAGGTAGAGAGCCGAGAGAGGTCAGTAAGAGCTGCCAGAGGCCTGTGGTATGGAGGGGCACCCTGAATGTGGTGATGCAGTTGTAAACGCATGTGTGTGTGTCATAGCATTGAAGCCTCTACTCACACACACTGAGCATGAGGATATGATCGCCTTTTTACATCAGCTTTGATTAAAATTAATGGGCCATCCCTGCTGTTGGGTAGCTTATTTCCAATCCATTTATCAGATGGGGTGAGGCTGCTTCAGTGGCCCCCATGCCCCTCAAACTCAGTTTTAGAACGGTCCTCTGTGCAGCCCTGAAGAAAGGTCAGCTCTCTATTTCCAAATAAATGATTTGGTCTCAATGAAGGAGGGAATGACTTTTATCTTTCATCATTTATCTGACCTTGGAGTGGTGGGAGGAAGCGAGACTTGAAAATTCAGCTCGATTCTTTTTAACTAGTAAGTGTGAGAAAACGGGTCAGATATTCTACCTTTACTCTTTTTTTAATCTTTGACCTGGTGATACATATTGTGGGTGATTCTGGTTTGTTATTTATTTAACAAACATAATGTTACCTAAGAGTTAGTTGTGCACCTATTGCAGTTTCTGGCTGCTGACTGATCTTTAAAAAGCCTGCAGACTCCGATTTTGGCCGATATCAGTTTCCTTTTATAACTAACACTGTCAGGTGCAATATGCTTATAATACATCCTTAATGTTTCAATCTTATTTCGTACAAAAACCAAACAATATCTGTGAAACAAACACAAACTTGTTTTAACTGCATATGTGCTCTCAAATATAAATTAAAAGCTTTGAAATCATAGTAGGCTTTTTTTTGTTTTTTTTTTCTTTTGTGTAGTTAGACAAGATTTGTGGAAAAGATCAGTTTCCTGAATCTCAAGGAAATTGGGACAACCAGTTGTTGCATCCCTAATAAGAAAGCATAAAAATATGTTTTTAATCTTTTCAGACCAGCAGCAGTCATAGGGCTTTTGCTTTCACACACAGTTTTAGTTTCAGAGTCATATATTAGCAATAAAAAAGTTGGCAATAACTAAAAATACAGACTATGTGTTCCATTCCAAAAAGCAGTCTATCCTAGGCTCAGTTCCCAGACTTCCAAAAGGGTTTTGGCAGTTTTTTGGAAATCTCAAAGCCAAGTCTCAAAGGCTCTGTTATGTTGAGATCGTCTTCCATTTAAAAAGGAAATTGAAAACAGTTTAAATTATAAAAAACAATTCAGAAAAAATATAATTTTTAGGTATTTTTAGGTAATATTCAAAGTATTACCAGCAGATTTGTGATTCAGCTAAAACAATAATAAAAAAATATATATATAACTGACATCCTTTCTGAATTATCTGATAAAAAATAAAGATCAACAACTTTCTTACTTGTGGAAAACTTTTAAAATTGTAAAATAGTAATGATCAAAAGGATGAAAAAAAAACCTTCAAATTGAACTGGAGTAAATGGACTATGGAACCAGAGACATAGACTTTAGCAGCTATCACACATGCATCAAAACAATTAACTATAACTGGAAAAAAAAAAAGATCAAGTAATTATACAATTTGTTAAAAAAAATGTCAAAAAGCAAAGCTAAAGAACTACCTCATACCTATATTTAAAAAGTGAAAATTGCTCACCAAGAAATGAAAGATTTCTCTCCATCAGCTTGTCACGAAGCAGCACCTCATGTTCTTGGCCAACAGCGCTGAGAACAATGTCAAGGATTTCAACATAGACCCACAGAAGCATTTTATGACCACTTAAATAGAAAAACAACGTTTCCCAAGAATGCAGACTATGCTGGAAAAGTAAAGCTTATTTACAAAAAGGCTCAAAAGAAAAAAAAAACAATGAACTAAATATTTAAGAAGTAGAGGGAGATGTTTCCATAGTGAAAAATATTTGGCATAAGACATTTTTTAAACCTGTGCACACATGTAGAGCGGTTCAATGTGGAGCCCTACGTCCCATCATGCAGCTTTTAAAAAGGTAGCAGGGAAGTGAGGCTAAAACAATTAATGACCTTAAAGTCTGTTCTTTAGTAAAGTTCTGTTTTTTTAGTTGACCAGTGGCAGTGGAGAAAGAAAGTTCAACTGAACAAACGTCATGTAAGCATTTTGTTTAAAAGCATTTCGCTCAGTAGATGGCTTCATTTTTCAACCATGTTTTACATATCTGCTAATAAATGTGCAAACACTATCAACATTTCGTGGAGGGCAATAATGGAGGATTGTCCAGCATGAATGAGCAATTTAAGGCCTCATCTTGTCACAGCTTCTTATTTAGATATAAGTCCATATTGTGACTAAGGCACCACAAATCCCTTATTTTCCTGTCTTTTTTCCCCCAGCGTTTTTATTGTCATTACACTGCTACTAGTACAGATGGACAAAATGAACTCTGCATTTAACCCATCTCCTTGGGTAGCAGTGGGCTGCCATTGTGTGGTGCCCGGGCAGCGATGTGGGGGTAAAGGGTCTCCCAGAGTGGCAGTCTGTAGGAGTGGGGCTTGAACGAAGAGCCTCTGGATTCCAAGCACAATGCCCTAAGCACTAGGCCACCACTACCCAAAGCAGGCATTAGCGTGAAGGCACACTGGCAGCTCATTCCCCGCAGCTGGGATATGAACCCAGGCTTCCTGTTTGCAGGAAGGGTGACTTACCACTAGAGCAGCTTATTCAGAGATCAACCTGGATCAAGCTTTAGATCAAATTCCTGCTGCGTAACTCAAGTATGTTTAAGCTTCTCAATGTTTTTAAAGATCTTTTACTAGAGAGCAAAGTCTGTGGTTCAAGTCATCAAGGTGCAGAAGAAGCAATTTAGCCTCTGATCATCATGTTCCCCCATCATGTATCGTTTCCTGTATAATTTTAACCTTTTTTATGTTTGGACAACCATTAATTAGGTTTAAAAGGCAATTATTTTTACACATGAGTCTGGTTGGTTCCAATAACTTTTTTTCTTCAAGAAAAACATCAAAATAAAAAAGCTTTTGTTTTCTTTCCATTTAGCTTACCCTTTTCTGGTTTTAACATGTACTGTAGGTGTGATAAAATAAACATGAAAGCACTTTTTTATCCAAAGCTGCATTACCAAAATGTAAACATAAATGGCAGGGAGAAAAAAAAAAAAAAAAGAGCTTTGATTAAAGACTATTTCTAATCATTCTGGACATTGCAAATCACAAATCCCATCACAAATGAATAATAGGCAACTTTTAGAACAGGCCCTGTCAATGATACTCCATTGTCCAAATGATGGTTCCTATTATAGAAAGAAAAGAGCTACAGTAAAAAACTTTCATCATTTGGTCAAATTACAGCATCTATATACCAGTACAATTTCAGTGGTGGAAAATTTTCGGCAAGGCTTCTTTTTGCCTAAAATACAGATGGTAGTGCTAAACTGAATACAAGCAAACCTTGATCAGGTACACTTTATCTTTTTATTGAATAACACACCATTCCCTTTATGCTGTTAATATTACTTGGTATCCATCTTATTCTCTTTTATACTTAACCAAGCAGAGAGCTGAGTAAAGCATGTATATTCTATTTGAACTAAAGAAAACCACAGGAAAGTAGCGAACTGAGATGTTTTATACGTATTATGATTACATTAGTTTTAATTTATCCTACATCCCAACAGAAAACATGCAAATTGAAAGGCACTTATCTATGAAAAAAAAAATTAGTTTCAGGTGTATCAAATAGGCTTTCTTTAAAAAAAAATAAAAAAATAAAAAGTAAAAAAAAACTATAACAAAAAAAACTACAAAGTGCTCTCCTTTAATGTACAGGATGAAAAAAAATGCTTAAAAAAAAAAAATCTAGAGTGTATTGATCACTGCATGTGCTCAGCTCATTCCTACAGCACCTACTTAAAATAATGCATTTCTAACTAAATGCCATTTTGAATTAAACTGAGCAATGGATGCTGCCATAGAGAAGAATCTTAAATTTACTATAATGCTATGCAGAAATAATTATTATTTGGAAGAACAAAGACGTTTGCTAATAGGATTACAATATAACAGCAAAGGGGGTTTATGCAAACATACATAAAAGGACTCTTCCTCTCATGTGTCTTTAAAGGTGTACAACAATGGGGCGTTGATAATGAACTAGGTGGCAGGGTAACAGATTTTCAACTCACAATAAGAGGACGACCACAGAATGGGGAAAAAGAGGGGGGAAGAGGAGGAGGGCGGCACAGGACAGGCTTGACTGGCTGTGAACAGAACAACCCAACCTCACCGCACTCCAGAAAGCCTTTGGAGACACTAACACATGCATACACATCACTACAATCATTCAAATTAAGTCTCCACCCCCAGGAAATATTTGGTGCGCTACCCAGCTGGTCCACCCTCCCAAAAAAAAAAAAATCTGGACTCCCACTCAGCCCGTATGCTGGGGGCAAAGTCAGCGCCTGTTACTTGGCACGAGTGTTTACAGCTTTATAGAGGAAAGCAAAGAAACAGGAACATTCACAATTTGCATCTTAAAAAAAAAAATTAAAAAAAAAGTCCTCTGCATTTTCTCCCCACAGTGCATAACGTAAAACATTGCATCTCGTCTCCTGAAGATGCATTTAGATCAGCCTATCCGCTCCTCTTACTCCTCCCTCCATTGCCTTCGAGCCTTAGGATCGGTGAGAGTGGGATGGCAGACGGGATGAAACGCTTCACTCTGTGAAGCAGAACTTTTATGTCAGGTGAAGCCAGACACATCTCATCCCCCTTCAATAGCTCCTCGTCAATTTCAAGCTTAAAATTTTATGGGATAGGATACTGTTTGATGCAGTCTACCAGTGGTCCATAACAGCAGTCATTTATTGTGCACTGAAAAAGAGGAGGAAGAAATATTACCACACACAACAACAAAAAAAAAGAAAAGAGAAAAAAAAGTGAAGTCAGGAAAAGCCCATACAGTGCTGAGAGGTAAAAAAAAAAAATACAGTAGATGCAGGCACATATGACTGGATGCCGTGTGACTTTATCAGCAAACACGATTATATGTTGACGTCTGGCAGGTGCAGCAGCAGCAGCATTTAAAAACATTATTTATGAGCAGAGGTGGAGAAATGATGGGCAAACAAACAAGGTTATACTTGTTTTTGAAAAATATATGTTTTCCTTTAAAGCAAAAATGAATTAAACTAAATTTCTGAACCATGAAAAGACAGTAAGAAAATTTTGAAAATAGTCTTCGTTGAACATTCTGACCAATGGGAAAACATACATACATTTTTACATATTTGTATCTATAGGCATTTCCTATTCAATACTTGGGTCTAAACATCGAGTTTTTCAAATCATCAAAAATCACAAAGATGATGTATGGATCTCATAAACACGTGTCAAACATGATACACTTGGTGTAACAGGGTTAAGATTGATTAGTGAAATGCAAAGTGTAAAGTCTTTACTTGGTAGATATTTGTTGCTAGTATTTGGTCGGCAATCAATGATGGCTCCTTCAGCATGCTGTTGAGGATGGTTTTGGAAGCTAAAAAAAACAAAAAAATCAAGCAAAGAGAAAGTTTAGGGTACATCAAAGACACTCTTTTGTTAGGGGTTCACCAAATAATCTTTTACAAATCTTGGAAATTTAGGATGGAATAAAAAAAAAACAAAAAAAAAACAATATCATCATGTTAATACTTTCCTGTGGACATATTTTCCCCTTCCCTCTGCCAACTTTCTATTGAATAACCATAAATAAATTAAACTAGAATAGAACTTTATTGATCTCACAATGGAGAAATTCACTTGTAAACAACAGAAGGTGCACAAAGGAGGAAAAGGTCAATGAAGTATATACAGTGCATCTATATATCTAAATCTATATATATCTATATCTATATATAAAACCACATACATACATACATACAGTGGATGGTAAAAAATAAAGGACAGGCTTTAAGTGACTTATCCTTTGTGCAGCTAAGTCGTGGCAGGTAAAGTGCGGTTTCCAGTTTTTATATATTTTTTGAGAATAGAATAGAAGGCCACAAACCAGTGCCGCAAAAAAAATCTAAAAAAATAAAATAAAATAAATACACACACCAGAAAATACGTATCTTAGATTATTTTAACTCTAACTGTGCCAACCGACCACATGCTTTGGCATAAATGAGGATTAGATTTGAAATCCTTCATTTTTGTGTTGTATTAAAAACTACTCATTATGGGATCTACACTGTTATATTGTGGATTATACTCATTCAGAAAAGCAAAAAATACAGAATCTGGTTAAACTGTATCAATGACTTTTTAGCGTATAGAATACATTTTTACAGTTGCTTAACACAATATAATAAAAGAAAGCTCATAGTCTTAAATGGACAAAAGATAAAATCTATATTGCATGATATTGTGCAAATATAGACAGAAAATGCAGCCTGAACAGTTTCTACAGTTAGTCTCGTATATCTCCCCTTGTCCATTAGAGAGCGCATGCAGATTTTCCGTAGATAAATGTTTCAGTCCACAGCACAGCCGCCTCATGTAGTTTATCTTGTTATGAATGCAGAGTATTCTGCATCTCTCATCCCATTCTTTCTCGACTAACATTATAAATCAGCAAAAGCAAGCATGTTGGATTGACTCTGTGTTATAGCAACAGCTAAAAAATTCCTTAAATCACTTCTTAAAAAGATTTGGATTAAATGGATTGTATCATTGTGTGACGAAACGGCTGAGACGTGCCATTTCGGTGATATATCTCCGCTGCAATCTGACAGAGATGCGGCATCAGAGACAATGCGATGGGATGTTTCTATTCACATTTCAAGCATGGATGGTGCTAGCACCAATCTGGCAGAGATTCTCAGAAACCGATTGAGAAATGCAAATACTACATATGCACTTAAAGTTGTGCTGGTAAAGAAGGAAGAGCTAAAAATTAAAAAAATATTCAATGCAGTAAAACATAAAATACAAGCTACAAAGCAATGCTATGTAATTTATGGCATCAGTTTTCAGTAAGAGAACAACTGAGCAGAGGTGTAATAAGATCTCATGGCATATGGCTTGCAATACATGCATAATTTGTCAAAGGAAGGCGTATTGTGACTTTTTGCAAAGTATATGGTTTCATTCATTCCTGGATTTAAAAGTGTCTGATTTAGGGTTAACTTACTCATGTTTGAGACTCTTATTTTGAAGTAAGAAAAGAGGCAGATCTAACATCAGCTACATATAGCACTGAAGAAGCCTCCAACAATTTGTATGGCGGCATCAAGGCAACATAGAAAACATTTCTAAATAGATGAAGAACATCTCTCCTTTTTCGGATAAGAAGGCCAAAGTTAGCTTCTAGTCAGCACTTAAATCAAGAGGTATTTGAAGCTTAATGTGACTAGACTGAATCTGACACACTCTACTTGAAAATCTATAATACTTTTTGCAATTTTTGTACTGAAAATTATACTTAAAATTGCTTATTTATTTGTCCCTCTGCAATTTAAATATTGTTTGATGAATAGACTGACACCTCAGTAGTTCAGGACAGATGCATCAATAAGCTTGTAATCTATTTTCAAGAATTTACATTGGGTCTGAAGTTCCCTCAACTCAGTCACCAATGTCAACTACAGGCAAGGTGATAGTTTAAAAAAAAAAAAAAACTAAAAAAAACCTTATCAAGTAACAGTGCAAGCTATGACATGAATTAGAACAGTGCTGCAGATCTGTGTTTTGGCCGCAGGTGTCAGTGTCATTAGAAAACCCCATTTTGCCTCTTTAAGATCAATTAGCTTTATTAGTCAAGTTAAGAGTAATGCCACCTTTATTCTAGCAGTGAAAATACAAAAGAAAAGAAGCTGTTTTAAAGCTTTTATTTGCTTTAAGACCACCTTAGAATATGATAAGCATAAAATATGCTGTATATAACATAGCTGCACATGATGGATTTAAAAGTATATATTATATCCTGTGGCATTTATTGCGATTATTAGAAAATTGCAGATAAACAGTCTTTGACCTGGATGCAATGCTGGCACTCCACACGCAGTGAACAAAGGCAGACATGATCCCTTCTCTAAAATATAAAAGGTATGGAGGAAGGAATGAGAAGAAAGCACATTTAGCACATCTCTCTTTTGTTTCTTTGTCTTCACATTTTTCTGCCAGATCTTTTTTTTTTCCCTATTGCAACCTGTTTTCTGTTTCTGTCTCTTCCAGCCAAGATGCTCCACCAACCCACCCTCGTAACCCCACAGTTCCTTTCAGAGCTGCAAGGCACAGGGGCTGTGCTTTATTTCGCTGCTCATTTTTCTCAAAGATTGGTACCTTCACACTCAGATCCATACTGCACTCGTGTGCAGTGCAGGCAGCGGTGAAGAAAGAGGGTTATATTTTCCCCTTGAGTTAGGACACCTCTTGACAAATGATAATGGATAATCAATACAGTGGGAAATATGAGGCAGCAAACTTTATGAAGCTAGGAGACATATTACTCCCCAACAACACTGGCTTCCCTTAACAAAGTCACTACTCGACTGTGCCTAATAATCTGAAGGAAAATAAAAGGACCTGCAATCACATCAGCAATATTGGCAACTTATTCCACTTTAATGGCATTTTGATTGATTTTTTTCCCTCTCTTCCTAATGGCCGTTTTATAGATTTGATGCTAGTTCTGCAAAACAGTAGCGTGTAATAAACCTCCCCGAAGGCAAACCTTGGCCATTAAAGCTCTTGTCTTACTAGTGTTCATAATTGGAGGTTGACCACTGCCACATTTTGGTCTCTCACATTGCGCTCACACTCATCTAGGACTAGACTTCAAAGCTCTTGTGTCTTTACAGCCCTTTAGAATTTTTCATTGATGGCCACAAAAAGTGATCAGGTGCAGTTCCGATGGTCTTTTTTTGAGCAATGGGGTTAAAAATAGCCGTAAACAGGTGACCTTGGCGCTGACATTGTGAAATTTCAACCAAGCATTGACCTGATGAAAATGGAAGGCCAGGCTGCTAATAAATCAGGATGCTTTTAAAATGAGTTAACCCTAATGCTCATTCATCACAGAGCGTAATGCCATTTGCCGGCCAGGGATTCGCTGCTGCGCACAAACACAGCAGTAAATAACAACAGCCCTTCGCATCCTTCGCATCGTTGCAGCCTCCGACATCAGCATACATTTATTAAAGAAGCCCCCGCCTTGCACAGCGGCACACCTCCGTGACACCCCATACTCCTCTTCACTACACACAAACACACACTCATTCCTTTTCAAACACATGCATAAAAATGTGTAGGAAAATACAAAAAAGGATAATCTCAGGAACACCAGGCACAGAGAACAAAGCCCTGCAGCACAACTTTGCACCTTGTAAACATTCACCAAATTTACTGTAATTGTCCCATGTTGGTATAAACTCCTACTAAGGCACGGTATCACACCGTCAACATCAGAGCAGAAAAAGAACAGAGGAGAGGAGGATAATAGATGTGAAATGCTACGCCTCCATTGGGATTTGCTAAAGAAAACAACCAGTGTAAACAAATCACAAGTCTGTTGTCATATACTGGAAGCGAAATACGCTATACACTGCGAGGTAAGAGTAACACAACAATGACGTAAGATTTCACTGCCTACTTCCGTTTTGCTTCCCTTTTCTTGGAGAAAAAAAAAGTAATTATCTGCAACACAAAAAAAAAAAAAAAAAAAAGAAATCCAGGAAACCTCATTAAATAGCAACATTTGTTGAGGGAGGACCCTGATAAACAATAATGGATGGCAGTTGTTATTGCACTCGACACTGATGAGCTCCTCTAGAAGTTTGTTTATTAATTAAAAAACCCACTTCTTACAACCGAGTGGGTGGGTGGGGGCAGATACCAATGTGTGTTATGTAGAGCACCCCCCCAAACTCTCCATGCACAACCCACTGAGCTGTGGAGGGAAGCTCGTTCATCAAACTTCATGGAGCAAGGGGAGAGACAGGTTCTGATAATGTGCGCCGCTAAAGCTGATTTTCCATGATGAATCTCGGAGCATATAAATTGGCTAATATCTGAAAACATTTACAGATACTAGAGGAATTGACTACTTGTGGGACATGATGGATGAGGCTCTCCAACGCTGGCCGACAGCTCCGCAAATCTCTGCGGCTGCCTAAAGCCCTCATTTGATTTTCCAATTTACTCCTTTTAAATTTATCCTTCCGCACTGAAAAAAAAAAACAAAACAAAAAAAAAAGGCCTCTTGAGATTGGAAGGAGGAAGAGAGTCGGAGATGCACAGGAAGAAAAAAAACAAAAAAACAAGATGCTTTTTATTTTTTTAGACTGATGGCGTGTGGGTGTTGGCTAATAACATGAGGTAGTATCTCCAGTGCAGGAGGAACCCAGTCCCTGAAGAGGTTACTGGGGCAGAACTGATCTGCTTCCACCTGATTCTGCTTGATAGCGGTGAGATGAAACTTTACATTTCTGTGTGTGTGTGTGTGTGTGTGTGTGTGTGTGTGTGTGTGCGCATTGGTAGTAATATAAGACCAAGGGAGGCTGTGCTGTAGAGAGGCTTCCCAGGTCAGGCCATTAGACTGTGGCAAAGGCTGACTGGAGCTCCTATACTGAAAAGGAGTAATTAGTATACTTGTCAAGTGAAGTGCCATGGTGCTGCTTACCTCCCTGGCTCGCACACACACTCACACATGCACAATAGCAAGCACATTCACGCAGAGTTGCATTTGTGGCGACTGCTTCCCATTCTCACTAATGAAGAGCCCTTGCTCCCATTATTTGTAATAAAAAAAGGCTGCAATTACACAAACACCAGCTCCACACAGAGGAGGGGTGCCAAAGAGAAGAGCGGTGTACTTGAAGAACAATAACAATCATAGTAAATGCTAAGAGATTTTTACTGGATAAAAGGAAGTGCAATATTCAGTTCATTTTATCAGCAAAACACTGGAGCCATTAATGAATTCTGTCAAGGATCTAAAAAGATCATGGCAGACACGACCGTTCTCACAGTGTTAACATCAAATGTTAGACATTTATAACGCTGCATACAAGGCTGCTGTAAAGGAATGCAACAATAAATCTTAAAAGAACCAGAATCACATAGTTACAAAACATGGAGTTGCAATCTAATCTGGAACTGGGCCTTGGGAAAATGGAAAAGGTCAAATAGCTCGCAAAATTGCCTCCTTGGAAAAAAAAAAAAAGTGTATGTCTAAATCCAGAGGCACATCAGCTCCTGTCAAAAGAGGAATAGAAAGATGGAAAGATAGCAAGAGGGGTAAAAGAAGAGCAGGAGCTCCCCCAGTGTGTCTGCTGGTGACATCTGAGAGGCTTCTACTAATGCAGAGATGCTACGGCAATAAACGGTTAATGATGTATTGGTCACAGAATTTTAAAAAGCAAAAAAAGAGATTGGAACCTCCCCAAAAATCGAAATTTATATACATTTTTTATATAAAACAATAAAATTACAAATAATGAGACAGAATAAAAAAAACAACATAATATTTCTTGAAAAAACAACTAATTTGGAACTGAAATATGAGATGCAGTTCTACCTAAACCTTAGAGGATTCAGCTTATCTGATTTTTTCCAGACTAAAATAATTTTCCAATTATCCCTGTTTCCATTATTGATTACATTAATGAGGTTTTACATTAATGAACTCTTATAAAATTTTTGATTTACTCCATGAATGCTTTAGCAAAAGAAATAGCAATAACCGAAAGGACATTTCATGCGTTCACAGTGATTATCTCGACTGAGTGCACATGACCTTTCCTCGCCCAGGTGTCTAGTCCATTTTCATGAGCCAAAAGCATTATGGATGCTGATATTACATTCAATACACGATACATCTGTTTTGAATATATCGATTTCTTCACAAGCACAACCAGTTCTGCTTGACTGATGCTCTTTCCAATACTTGAGCTATGAGAAGGAGAGCCAGATTGTTTGGGTTGTCATCACGTGGAGGTGTGGTGGCATCTGCAGCTACTAGAAAGGAGGGAAGGGAGGGTGACATGCAGCAGCCAGCAAGAAAAACCAAAGCCAGGACAGTACACAAAACAATTTAAAACTCCCTATTGATCCACTGCTGGTGATTGTACATATATTCTATAGTCCCAAAGGCCTCATTCCTGTTTCTCTTAAATGCAAGAGAAAAGAGTAAGGGAATAAAAACAACAAAGGGGCTCAGCAAAGGCAAGCCAGTCACCCAGTCGGGGGTAATGTCCCTTATATAGAAGTCTATTGATCTTTGCAGTGAGCATGCCTACCCTCCCTGCAGACTTCCACTAAAAACACAATAAACACAAACATGTGAACGCTGGAATGCAGACAGGGGCTGGAGGCGGCATGACAGATATGCCTGCCAATAGCACTGAACCAACCTGTTAGCTAATCGCCAGCAAAGACAATTATCCTTGCATTGTTTCATGGTGGAAACACATTACTGGGGTCTAATATACTCAGAGGGAGAGTCGACGATTTGACCGCAGCATATGCGGGAAGCAATTCATGCGGAAACGCTGAGCGGGTCAACGGGAGATTGCAGTGAAGCTCATTGAAAACAGAAATCCCTTGCTTAGCAACTGGCATTAAAGACTGTAACATTTCTAAATCCTTCATATGTGTTTTGCAGGAAAAAAAATCAAAAATACTGCATGAGACTCTCCAGCCTTTCACGATTCAACAAGAATCTTAAAAAAAAATTACAACATGCCTGTAGTGCATGCTTTAACCTTTTGTCGTAAAAAATTCATCTGTACTGAAAAAGAAAGCTCTAAAATCAACAAATCAAAAGTTCAATCCCCTTTAAGTGACTTAACAAAAATACTGCTTCTTTAGTGAAAATGGTCACACACAAAAAAAAAAAAGACGATAAAGTGTCTCCTACATGCTGTATTCTGGAAGTTGTACTCTGGATATTCAGATAGACTTTAGACTAACCAGTTAGCGACTTAGTGCTAGTAGGTTCCCAATGGGAAATTATACTGGGACCGAGTAGCACTTAGCAACGATACTGTCAAGGAACGCTATGGACAGCGGAAACATGCAAGAAGAGGAGAGTTTTGTGTCGGTGGTCGTGGATGAATCTCCTCTGTCACACATTTTTTTTATTTAGAAAAGGAAAGTGGGGACAAAGATGTTGTAGAGAGGACACCAGGGTGGCAGAAGCTTGGTTTGGTATAGAAGGCTTACAGCCGTACATGTTTGAGACCCTGCCTCGTAACGCTGCCAGTTCTGTTAGCTCTACACCTGTTGATGACACAGACGTCCATCCCTGTAAACACTGGGACGTAGCTCAATTGTAAAGTAAATGATTCTTATTTCTTATTTCAACCGTTGCGTATATTACCTTCGACATATAAATCAAGATCTTATGACTTTAAAAAAATCGATTGACAGATGACTTTTGATATACGATTGGCCGAATTTAGGTGTACAAGCTGACATATAACTAACAGGCCGCATAAAATAAAAAACACAAGATTTTAAGACAGGATTTTTTCAAAAATAAAAATTTTCTAACTTCTGGGACAATATCGTCTGATAAAGAGTACATTTATATACATGTTTAGGCCAGAATGATTTGAAATTTCATAAGATCATAATAAACTTTTAAAAGGCAACTAATGCTCTTAAACTCTCTAGTTCCACCGTTGATTTTCTTCTATCAGATTATGCCAAACTTTTAAGTGATTGCCAGTAAAGGACAGAAAACATTTTTTTTCCCTTCTTGACACTTCTCTAACAAAAATCAATTGCCCGCTAACCTTCCAATTTATAATATTACTTTAGACATTTTCTGAAATCTCCTTAGAGACTTCTCAAGAATTGATAAGATAGTCAATGCATAAGCTGGGGTTAAATAATTAGTTGCCAGCTAGGATAGGATTGCCCTTGCAGTAATTGTACAATAAGAGACATGTGTTTGCTTTGCTGAATCCAGGTGACGACTATTTTTGCAGGCAATGCATCTTCACATCTTTTTCTATAGAATGAATATTTTGTCCCTTCTTATGATGTGCAGCATCTGAGCATCAGTTTTCAAGTGTTGCCACAGTTGAATTAGATTTAGCGTAGGTCATGTGCATGTTTTTATCTAAACCTGTTTTTTGTAGATCTAAGTGACTGTTCCTCCAATCGCAGAAAATTTAAGTAAGTTGGTTTGATTCTGCCAGACAGTGCATTGGGTATCTTTAGCAAAACACTGGGCCTTTATAATTCAATATCAACCATCCAGAAAGTTTTATATACCTAATCTGTACTCCAAGCAATTAATTAATGCTTCTATATGGAGATGGACCAGTGCAGCATGCTATTATATGATGCAACTAGCTCTCCAGGATGATTGTCTGCTCTACAAGCTTCTCAGACGGGTATTTTGACATGCAGTGGATAACATCGGGTCCAAAGCAATCACATCTTTGACTTTGACAAATGGCTGTGCTGCGGTGAAGTTGAAAATAACACACATCCACTTTAATCTCTTTCTTGATTTAAATTGGAAGCACGTCTTTTTTGACATTATGCGATTCACTTCAAGTATTGACTGCCCAATAGACAAATGCAAGTAGTTGACAGGACAGAACTACTGGAATAATAGGAACGCTCTATGGATACATATGTTTACAATTCAAGAACAGAGGGGAAAAAAGGCAGATGGAGGGGGTGGGGGGGGGGTTCTCTTGTTTTTGCACCCAAAAATTATTGAGAGGCAGCAGAAATCACTACCAAGGAGTTGGATAATAAACAGAATTTACATGTTTATACAGATTTCTTTCTTCTGTATAAACTTCTTCTCTTCAACAAGTTCAATGAAAATATTTGCGTCTGGACTTCTGCTCCCCTGTGGTGCTCCATCAGCACTGGGAGGAATAGTTTACTTTTTTTGTCACATTTTTCTTTAACTCAATTTCCTTTATGTACACCAGTAGGTTAGGAAAAGAGGAAGCAGCTTGGGGAGGAATAAAAAGTATGGAAAAGAAGGAAGCATGCAGAGAAAATCACATGAAGAGAGAATTCACAGGTGTTAAAGCTAACAAAAATGAGGTTAATCCAAGCACTAGTGGAGGGGGGCTCTAAGACTTAATTGCCAATCACAGGCTGTGGAAGCCAGAGCCATTAAATGTTGTCCACTAATTGGCATTTGACAGACAGAAGATACAACTGATGGTTGGGACTTTGGACCCAAAAAGAGAGAGGAATAACAGACTATTAAGGTTGAAGTAAAGACTGGTGGAGAATTACACGGAAACGTGTTACTTACGCATTTCACCGCCCTGGTCCTTCAGGAACCGATCCAGGATAATACGGGCCATCAGAGCAGGAGACAGATCCACCTTTAAACAAATTGCACAGCACAATTTATTGGAATCTTATTAAACCAAATCGAATAAGATAATAGAATTAAGAGGTTTTATGTTTTATTACATAAAAAATTTTTTTAAATGTGATGTGCATTTGTATTTAACCCCACAAGAGGGTTTTTAGGTGCACCTTTCCCCACCATTATCGCTGAAGCTATGTTTATATTTGTCCAAACCAATCGAACATTGCCGTTTCTACCAAGTTATTTGTAAAAATTAATTCCTTAAGCTTAGTCAGAGTTAAAGAAGAGTCTTTAAACATGAGCTTTAACTTTATGACACAGATTCTGAATTGGTTGTAAGCTTAGAATGATACTGAGCCAACCTAAAACTTGCATATGCATATCACTGTTTTACAGGCATTTTAAGTAAAACTCCCCTAGTGTGTTTGTAGTGTACTGGGGTGTCCCACATGAGCTGTTAAGCTATGCAGCTCCCACAGAGTTGCAGCGGGTTCTTTTAACCATACATCTCAGTTTAGAGGGATGAAGCACAGAGACTGAATAGAATAACTTGACATATTATTTCATGACCCAGGAACGTTCCGAGGGTATCAGAGTAAAAGGGGTGAAAGTAAAAGCTTGTCACACTTTTAACATTTTCTTAATCTGAAAAACAAAATTATAAAAAAAAAACTTAAAAAAACATGCATCACTTTGCAAAAAGTCTGTGGTTACTAAAAATGAAATAAAAAGGTTTGCAGTGTATGAATAGTTTTGGAAGACATTTTGGAGACACCACTGTACCCGAGTTCGAAACTGTTTAAAAACATCTGGATCTTACATATTTTTTTAAACATCAGCACAGGGTATTTTCAAAGAGATTCAGGAACTCACTAAAAAGACACCAGCAGTTGATGGTTTACTGATGTCACACATTATAATGACCTTAATGGATCTAAATTATGTTGTTGTATTCCTAACCCTTGACCTAAATTTGGACAATTCCCTCTCAGTTTGCTCTTTGGAATCCTTGCTATGCAATAACCTTTCGAAAAAGAAAAATAGCTTGACTGTTGCACAGCCAAGGTAGCCGTCTTATTGCCTTAGCTTCTGTCAAACACATTCCCAGTCTCTCACCTTGCAGGAAAAAAAACCACACATACTACACCAAGCCAAGAAACAACACAGAGCTTTAATCATAGAATGATCACTGAGGCAAGCAAGCTAATAGGACACACCTCAGGGACCATGTGCATGGAGTCCCTAATAGGAAGAATAAAACCTATGGCTCCAGCACCCTTTGAACACAAAGACACCTTATAGGTGAGCGATGTTTTGGTTTGAGCGAAACGAAAAGTCCTGACAGGGAAGGGAGCACTAATGATTGATGCTGAAGGTATTTCCACCTGCACCCTGCATTCCATCAGATTTCAAACATTGTTCTTGTAAGGATCAGCTCACAAGAAACAAGCCTTAATCAGAATATATAAATCAATGAAGATGCAGAAAACAAATACACATATGTAAAACAGATGTGTTTTTTTCTAAAGCTGTGAGACTTACCCTAAATAATATATTCAGTATCAGCATGGAGAAGCATTTATTCATTCAGTCATCTTAGGATGGGGGAAATTAAAACACTGCTTGGAGACCAGCTTGTTATAAAGCAACATTCTTACAGCCATTGAAAAGTTTCTCTCTTGTTAGCATAATTGGGGACCAAAAGTAAATTTGCCCTCAGCTTGCAGACAGCCGAGTGTTTCATCCTTCCTTGGATGCATTATGCTAATGCTAGAGGCAGAGATCTTTCTGTCTAAACAGTGTCTTTATAACCACTGTGTCATTTGCTGGCATTCTACACTATTGAAAGAAGGTTGGAGTTTGTAGAAATCCCTACATGTCTCTTATAATTAGGGTGTGGCATTGTGTCTTTATCGGGACTGCTGATCATTTTACTATCAATACTTTTACCAATTTGAATTGCAGCAGCCCTCTTATTTCCAGAATTATTCTGATCATCTCTTTTTTGCTCTACATCCCTTCTTCCTCTGAGTGCCTATTGGCCTCTTCTTCTTCTACACCATTTGAAAACAAGGGAGTTTCAGATACTAGCAAACTGACACATGAAAAATGGCAGCATTACTTAAGCAGGCTAAGCCTGAATAAGTGCCACCTGATTAGTTCAGGTAGTTGCATCTCCTTAATTTTCATATTAATCACGAGTCCCTCTCTGTTCTCAAGCCGGTACGCAGCAGAGAAAGAGTTTAACGTCTGAATAAGATTAACAGAGCTCCAGAATTCTACTGAAAATAATATTTAAATCATTTTCTCATTGTTTTTTTTCCAAAAAAAACCTAATGTTTGTCACATAAAGCGCTCCACCATCGCACCTGCACTAAAACCTTCATGTAACATTTGCATAAAGATCCTAATAAAGCTTGAAACACAGTGAGTTTAGATTCCCTTATTCATGGACTTCTTCTGGGGACAAAAATATCCATAAATAGCTTTCATCTCTGTTAATCTTTACCTCTTTTGAAGATATATTATCTCATAAAGACATGAAACTACATCAATTAGCAGTCTGGGAGGGTATGAGTGCTTGGTTTAAATGTTAAGTAGCATATTAAAATGACAGTTAAATGGTTCATAGACCGTTATCTATGTTCTTTCCAGAAAAAAAGGGTATTTCAATTAACAAGGAAATGAAAAATTGCTGTTAACTTCCAGGTCGCTACCAGTTTTAGACAAAGAAACCTCTATATTGTGAGAGATAATAATACTAAAGTATAAGTTTAAATGATGAAATTAATTGTCTGGTCTACTGCACTACCGAAAAAAAGGATGCAGAAAGAGAAAAGTGTATTAAATTGGGTATCTGCCTTTATAAGTTTCTCAAACTCTGGCCTTTGCAAATTTCTGTAAACAATTTTTTAAAAAGTGTATAAATGCCTACTATAACACAAAGCAAATACTAATTATTTCTGGGAAAACCGAAAACTAATATAATGTTTGTCTAACATTCATTTGTTGATTGGAGGCACAGATTTAAGCAATCATGTATGATCAACAACTGCTAAATGTGAGGGTCTCAAAATGCTTAAGGTGCAAAATATTATACCTAATGCCTGAATATTGTAGCTTTTCGCTGGCCTGCTCTTTCTATAATAAAAGTAGAACAAATTATGCAGCCGGTATTAGCTGGATAATTGGTTTAGCTTTTTTGCTAGGTTATTAAGCTAATTCCTTTAGTATCCAGAACCGGAGGCTTACCCCATTTTGTATAAATTAAAGTATGTTAGATTATGTTGCTTGCATGCAAAAGATTTTTTATTTTAAAGAAACCTATACCACATCTATCATAAAAATGCCTCACAAACACTGTTTTATAAGAGCAAACACAACTCTGAGCTTCTAAACCAAACAACGTAATACAGAGCGAAATGGACTGGTGACCCCCGTCCTCACCTGTCCGCACTTTGTGACAAGTCTGTGTGAACTGCAATTTAGAAAATTGCAAAATAAAACAAAAAAACTATTTTTACATCTGCTTAATGGAGCATGAAGCTAATTACATTAGATAATTGGTAATGGAGAGAACCATTTTCTCAATTTTGATAATGACTAACAGCCCAGAGAAAAAAAAATCCAGACCTGAACCAAATACAACCTTTTTCATTCATAGGAATACTTTTTGTTTTAAAAATTAGAGAATAAGGTAGACTAAGTGTTGTTACCTCATTAGCCAACTCCAACAGGACAGGATCGGTGGGGCGAACCCTTGTTTCATTCAGATACCTTCATTGTGATAAGGACAACACCAAAGGTTAAGGAAAGAGAAAAAACACCTAATAAAGACAGACAAAGGATAGAGGGGCTTAGATCAGGCTAGCCAAGACATGCTAATGTCCCTGATGACATTGCCCTGGGTGGCATATGGCAGACTCAGTGCGGTTAGAACAGCACTGCTTGGAAGGCTTCAAATTTCCTTCGAGCCAGACACGCATATGATAGTTAGTTAACCCCTGCCGCTTAAAAAGCCTTTTTTCCCTCGCCAGCTAAGACAGAAAGTCCCCTCAGATCTTGCCAAGATCATCTCTGAGGTTTGCTCCTCTAAGTGGATTAGAAGTACATTATCCAGGCTTATTTTGTCCAGAACAATGGCCTAATAAGCTAGATAAAAGGCTAATTGCAACATGCAAAGTGGCTTTTCCCATTGCAGGTTTTTTGTTGCCTTTTTTAATTTAGCCATATTTATTGAATTACACATAATCATCCCGTCATAAGCCTGCATAAGGCAAATGTCTCAGGATTTTCTCTTTTCTTATTAAGACAGTGAAAACAGAGCTCTGGCTTGGCAGGTGCAAGTGAAGGCTGGGGAATGAATTCTGAGAGAAATGATTAGTTTGGAGGTGATTATACCAGACATAGTAGGCTCATGATCTCTCATCTACCTTTGACAAGTCCTTTTCTCACTTATTGAATGTCAAGATAAAGATAAAACCACAATAACTACAAAAGAATTAAGAAAACAAGAACCCATTACTAAAAAAATATAGAAGAAAACACTGCCTGAAACAAAGTGAGAGAATGAACAAATAGAAATGTGTTGGTGATACCTTTGGTAGTAGCGTTCCATTACATCTGGTGCATGATGTCTTGAAATTGTTCTTTTAGTTCGTTTCTGTGATAATAGAAATTATTAGTGGAAGTTTATGGATTATTAGATTCATAAATAACATCTCCAGGTGAGTCTTACCCCATCAGCAAATCATAATATTGTGCACCCATTGCCAAATTTCCCTTACTTCATCCACTTCATGAATATTTACAGAAGGTCTCCTTACCATCACCCTCATCTTTATCTCCACACACAGATTACATTAACATTACTTACACTAAGAAAAATTAGCAAGATAAAAATCAGAAGATTATTTCAAACCTAAATCTGCAAAGAGGATGCTCTCTGCTTTAATTAAGCATCTAAAACGGAAGTAAATATTTATAGATCATTTCCAAACTACATTAGCTCCTAAAGATTTTCTGTTTCATCATATTTCCATTCATTTGTATCTGATTCCTGTTTGGGCATTTTGATTCTCATCATAAATAAACATGGCTGAAACAATTAATCGAATTAATCATGAGTGACTATTAAAATAATTGCCATCTAAGTATAAAAACTCTAAAATATGTAATTAGCTGAAACAGCAGTGGTTATTCCAAAATAAAAAAATAAAAAGATTTAAAAAAATAAAATTACCTTTTTGTACATCAGTATGCTCTATCCAGAACTTCTCAACTGACATAGTTTTAGTTTCTACTGGTTTAAATTCTGTCATAAAAATCTATAACAAACCTTTTGCCATCTGATTAATAATAGATTAATCTAAAAATTTATCGACAGATTAATAGATTAGCAAAACAATAATTTTAGTTGTAGTTCTTCACATAACATATAGTGAAATTGATCCATCTGAAATAACAGTCCCCTCCTATATTTACACAGCATAAAAATGAAGTCTTTAAAACATTTAGCTGTAAATACGGGAGTAGGGGGTTCAAATTGATGCAACATCCTGTGGCAGACGGTTCCATTTCCAAGCTATAAAGGTCACGTACAAAATGTAGAAGGAAGAATATGACCACCTACTTATTTTTAGCAGTATAATCATTATTAATACTAACATCATCATCAAGGTAAGTAAAAGACCCCCATGCTAGGCCAGTCTTGCACTCCTCTGTAGGAGAAGTCATTTCATTTCAATAAGTTTACTGGGGTCACAGTGTGTTAAAGCAGCCTTGTTCAAAACCCCAGCACTCCCTCCCCTCTACCTGATACACTCGAATCTTGTATTCATTTCCTTTTTTTCGATCGAACCCTGACATTATACACGAACCACACTGACATTTTCATGCAATTCAATTGCCATCCTTTGCTGAGAGGCAGGAGGACAGGGGATAAAAGAGGAAGAGCATTGGTTAAAAACAGCTTATTTAAAAGCTACCACACACAAAAAAAAATGTAATTCCACAGAGACGAGCAATGTGACTGACACCTGTCAGTGGGATGATAAATGACTCCATTTTCTGCCTGTGCTGCCTTCTGCCACTGGCGGCAGTGGCCATTTATCATCATCCGCTGTCAGCCGTGGAAAGCAGCAGTGACAGTGCGAGTCAGCAAACATTTAGCACACACAGCCGCACTACACGGGGAAATTATTATTGTCAGAATAATAATGGTTTAGCATAATTTATTACAGGTCCACCAAATAAGCAGGGGCTAGATGTTATTAGACAGATGGATGGGAAGGTTTGGCAGGCATCCACTGAGGCTCAGGCAGGAAAAGGACCTCAACGTGAACGTGAAGGAGGAGAGGAGGTCTGTGTGTGTGTTGGGGTGGGGGGTGAGGGAGGGGAAAAATGGGGTTGGGGGGGCTCCTCCAAACCAATCAGAAAGCTGGCAGTTCAATTACAAAGAAATAAAGGGACATTCATCATTCAATTAGGCACCTGTCAGGGCTCACAAAGGAAGAAAACTTCTAACCTGGTACTCCAGGGAGAAGATGCTCAGAAGAGTGGACTGCGAGTGACTGGAACAAATAAAAGAAGGACAAAGTTAATTACCAGAGTGCATTGCACAGAGACAAAGGGAGAGGAGCTTCAAAGCTGGGGCAAGCTGCCCTGTAATCTAAAAGAACATGAAAACAAGTGTGGCAAAGTTGTTCCAGATGAACACCTCTGACAAAGAGTTCCTGCCATCATGACATGAGGGGGAGAAAGACTGAGCTGGTGTGTGGTATGAGGTGAAAGACGTAAAAGCTGATTTTTGCTCTTCTGCATGCCCTTCCTAGAATCCTGTTTGGTTTTCTATTTCATCAATACATGCAAAGCTGCATTCAAATCAATCAGTTGATGTTGTCATAAATTGGACATCCACTCAAGGCCCATCTAAACACGCATAATGTTGAGAGACATTTATCATATTTATGCAAATCATTTACAGGGTTCTTAGGCAGTTGATGATAACAATCACACTCTCCCAGTTTACAAAATTTGCAAATTGGATGACCACAATGAGATGTTGGATTTGACTGCTGTGGCTATACATGTGGAGGGAGGAATTTTCATTTATTTTTTCCCCTGTCAGTGTTGGCATATGGACCACTCAGGGAACCTTCTCTTAAAACTGGTGAGCTTTGAAAATAGAAACTTTCACAGCAGGTAGGTGCGAGTCTCCCGAGCCAGTCAGTTCCATAGGTTGTTGTTGCATTCATCTCCAGCTCCAGTCAATGTCAAACACCTGGCAGAGAGGAAAATATGGGGGGAGGTAGCTCCATCTGGGATAAGGAGTCCCTCCAAAATCACTCCCCTATCCCCATCGTTTGAGTTTGTTATTTACATGCATGAACTATTCTATTGTAATTTGTCAGTGTAAACCTTTTTTGTGCATTTAGACAAAAAATTTAATTGCAACATGTAAACAGCTTTGTAACTGTTCACAGTGGTTTTTGTTCCCTTTGACATCTGGATAAATTAAACAATATAATTTTTTTTAAACTAATACTTCTCCTCAAACTAGATCATGCCAAGAAAGGAACCATAATATAGATGACTGATATAAAAGATGACTGATCAAATACCAGCTTTCCAATACCAAAGCTGTAAAACTTAAGAGCAAGATAGGAATGTTTTCAATGAATCAGCCTTCCAGCTCAGCTTCAATTTTCAATGCAATGTTACTCTGGGATGAGGGGCCACTGCAAATTGGTAGGCCATTAAATGGTCAACTGTCAACATGTGGACACTAACTGCACCAAAAAAAAGAAAAAACCCTCTCCCACACTCCAGCCTTGCACCTGAGTATTTCAGCAACATTACATGCCTTATTATTGGCAGGGGATCCTCGTGATTCCCGTGTCAGAATGCACATCTGTTAGGTTTTAAATGGATTACTCTTTTCAATGAGCATGATTACTGCTTAATTGCTAAATCTTTAACTTGAAAGGGACATGAACTGCCCTTAATAACCATGAAATCAGTGACAGTGAACTTTGGCGACTTTTCTTTTTTTTTGTGTGTTTTCAAACTTCAGAATTTCATGACAAAGAATGAAAAACCACGTATGTTCAAAAGAACCAAAAGCCCTGTGTTACTCTGTGAAATGGCATAAAAATGGTGTCCTTTTTTTTTTATTTCTACAGGTTTGGAACCATAACATTTCAAAAATGCAATTATACCTTGAAACTAAAGAAAACCCAATAATGCCTTCTAACACAACAAGTGTTGAAATCCCTGGTATAAATAATTTTCTCTCACTTTTAAAATACGAAATATATCCTTAAAATTTCCCCAAAAATAAGGTGAGGAAAATATAAAAAGACAAAGAACTATGATTTGTCAGCTAAGTGTTCATACCCAGAATCTAATGATTAGTTGAGAAACATTTTGATCCGTTTTCAGCCTCAAATCTTTTTTGATTTCTATCCAGATATAACATCCTTACCTCACTTTACAGGGCAAAGTGGGAGGAGACCTTCTGCCCACATCATGTTTGTCAGATTTAGTTGTGAACTCTTAAGGTCAACCCAAAACTAAGGAGTCTCAATGATCCAGAAAATTAACTCCATCTTAATCCTCAGCTTTCAAGCAAGCCCCTGAACGTTCTGGTTAAGAGTCCAGCTTTAGGAATTTCATTCAATAAAAACAAAAAAAACAAACAAACCCAAGTTCTATCTGCATTAAAGCAAACACCACATCTACTGCCGTATTTCAGTTTGAATATGGAGCTACTTTAGAGATGCTTAGTACACAGTGTCAAAAGTTGGAGTTTGGTTAAAAGAGATTCTCCCACAAGGATTTTGAGATTTAAGTCAGACCTGGATGCTTTTCTGTTTTGCTTTTGGGTTTTCTTGGAGAAACATAGATCCTGCTACTGAGTTCAAACATAGAAAATAGAGCTCATTTGTTTGTTATAACGACACATCTTGAAGTCTTACTGTTGAAATCCTGAAAGTCTCCAACTTCTGTCTTGTCACGTTTCATCCGTTTGTGAAAGAAATGTCCCCTTTATCCCTTAATGGTTCCATATGTTCTTTATGTCTGTGTTCACCAAAAGTAAAGACAGGAAAATGTTGTACTCTTTTATTGGCTGATACCTTTTTAGTAAAAGATCCTTGTAAGCTCTTCACAAGCTACTGCCTTTAGGGAGGGATGCAAATACACAAATGTTTTTTGGCAAGAAAATCTGAGCTTTGTTTCTGGTTTATCAGAGTTGATGGAAAGTGTGAACAAAGGAAGACTAAAATCAGAAATCAGCTTAAAATGTACTTCTTAAACATTAGATAAAGGGGGTGTAATTGTAGGGCTGGTTGTTACAACAAATTCTGATTATTTTTCTGCAGTCAAAATACACACACTACATGCTGCATTAAAGGTTTATAATCTTGCTGATGTGGTCTCATAAACCTAGAACTTTACCAGAGGTGGATAACCTTAAAAGCCAGTGTTCATTTTCATTAAAGTAAGCTAAATAAACTTCCAGTGATTGCAAATTATTCTCTAAAAATCAAAGATGACATCTTTATGTTTTATAATTTACTAAAAACTAATTTTATTGTACCTTTTTTCTATTAATTTCTAAAAAAAGAAAAAGAAAAAAAAAAAACTACACAATTATTAATGCCCACCTTAATTTACATCAAATATTAACATAATTTTTGTACAAAAACAAGGTATAAAAAAGTTGAAACAATGCACTGCATTCTTCCACTGACCTTTTCATAACAGAAGGAAAATATAGGCTCTAATTTGAACTTGGGGAACAGAAGGTTGGTAGACAGAGGAGCGGTTAGGGAATCATTCACTCTCAGCCTAATTACCCATCCTTACAACAGAAGACAGAGCATTAATATTCACTGGCACCAAAAATAGTGAGGCTGTAGATTAAAATAAAAACAATTAGGGACTTCACTTTGTCAGTGAACTGGTATGGCTGTCTGGTCAGTGTTTCGGGCTCTATTATGCTACAATATCCACTGGTGAAGCTTTGGGGAAAAAACAAAAACATAATTTCAAGCATTTCAATGCATTTATGGTTAAACAGAGTCTAAGGCATAACATGAGGAAAAAAATAATAAAACGCAGAGAAAAGCATTGAAAATCCCATCAAGCTAATTAATAGGAGATCAGGGAAATTTAAGCAATCAATTATATTCAGAATCTTCCTATTTACAAATAATTAATTATAAACAAGAGCTGTAATTTGGGTAATGAAAGCCACCTGGCTAATGGCATTGGTATCATATGCTGTGACAGTACTAAGCATTTGGTGGATCTGCATGCAGAGAGTGAGGCTCTTCAGGGCATGCAACTGTCTAATTGAGGCACAGCACATATTTTTTATAATGGCAGCTAAATTATTTTCCAAAGAGATGAACATGAGGGAGAACACAACCTCATGCAAAATGTCAAAAGTGCTTGTTTTATATTCTTTGCTTTAATCATCAAAATAAAGAGATGAGCATTTTTAAATCATAGTAAAGCTTATTACATTTAATAGCCTCATTCAAGAAATCTATTAAGCATTTACTTTCTTAAAGATTCATATTTTATAAAATGAAAAAAACAGCCTAATGGAGGTTAAAAAGTGGATATGCAAATGCAGCTAATTGCACACGCTGACAGGCAAAATGCTAACATCTGTTTCTCAGCAATGCCTACAATCAGTAGCAGTGAAAAAAATATTGGGGAAAAAAAAAAGAAATATGGATTAATGTATAAATGGGATATATTTTGACAAGATACAAGAACAAATCTCAGTGTGCTACAAAGCTCCAAACAAATACTTGCACAATAACCATGCTTGTTTGCACTTCAAATTAGTATTACATTATGTTTTTGTAAAACTGCTGTATATTATTCTATAAGGAAAAAAAAGGAATATAACAGGACATGTGACACACATTCTCACAGATATTCTCATCCCTTCCTGCTCCCCCCCACGGCTTTCCTGAGGGAATTGAGACATTACAAGGAGACATTACTTGCATTTATTCACACTCTTTGTCAAATCAATCCAGTTTTTTCACATAAAAAAATATATCCCCAAAAAATAGAATCCTATGCAATACTTAATTTCAGAAAAAATGGAGTCAAGTAAAGAACACATCCTGATTAGACATTTTTGCCCACCATCAAATCTGCAATAACAGAGTTTTGTTGCAGGTTTAGCTGCACCTTATGTACAGAATGTAGCATTGGTTCAGATCCTTTATCGGTTAGTCTTTTTAACCACCATTGCTCCAAACAAATAATATTTCTGCTGTTCATGTCACAGTTTTAACAGTTTTTTTTTGTAAATAGTCTGATGCTTTTACTTTTTTTTCAAATGCACATTTTTTTGCATGTAAATTTTTCAATTAATCCTACTTAGATGTACATTTAATTTGATCTGTAATGAAAGCTTCTCCTTTAAAATTTTTTTTTTTTTTTTTTTTAGTTACCAACTTTTTTCTTGCTAGCTGTTAAAAAAATCTTTAATTTATTCCACTGTTTAAGAATAAATGACTTATCAATTTAATCCAATTTGAAA